ATTCTCTTGAGTCACCATACACAGGTTCTTCCTGTCATGATGATGCTGACCACAGCACCTGGACCTTACTGGCCACTTGTGGATGTCTCAGGGCCCTTCAACAACCCAAGGAGGGGTCTTCCATTTCCATTTTACAGATGAAAAAGACTGAGGGTCAAAAGGGCCTAGTGCCCTGTCCAAGGTTAATGTCAATAAGTGTGGAGCATGAATCAGAACTAATAGTCTGCCCCACTTGAATCGAAGCCCAGTGGTTCCCAAAGTCAGCTAGACCTCATCTGAAGTCCCCCTCCCCCCATCCCTGTTGGTGGTGTTGGGGTTGGAACTCAGGGCTTTGCACTTGGTAAGCAGGGGCTCTACCACTTGAACCAGCCTTCCTGAAGTTCCCCTGAAGCTTGTGAAAATATGTAAAACTTTCTAGGCTCAGAATAGGGATAAAGAATTTGTAATTTTTAAAAACAGCCTTAGACATTGGGAAGCTTGACTCTAAAGTAGAGTGTCACAGAAATATGACAGTAAAAACAAACAAAAAAACAACTGAAAAGTCAAGTTTAGGGCAGGGGGTGTGGCTTAAGTGGTGGACACCTGCCTAGCAAGCACAAGGCCCAGAGTACTGCCAAAAATAAGTAAATAAATAAATCAAGTTCAAGTTTACTTTAGCAACTTTTAAATTAACTCACTGGACCGCCTTACTAATGAGAGTTCTTCTAACCATGGTGCACAGCCCCTAAAGAAGGAGGCATTTGAGAATAGCCTAGCTGCTGGAAAAGAGCCATATTTGGTGAAGGGGCCATGTCTGGCAAGGGACACCAGAAGGGCTCCTGGTGGTCGTAACGTCTGCTTTTTGCTCTGGTTTACTACTGTTTGCATTTGCCTTCTAAAAAAGTCATGACAACAATTTGTGCATTCTGTTTTTGAATGTTTAAAAAGAGAACTAAAAAGTCATGTTGGTCATTCATCAGACACCACACCAGTTATCTTTACACAGGGAGGCAATGGGTAATGCACTTCCAAGGTTTTGCGATTCTAGGACTTGAGTTTTGCAAGATGCTCTAATTCTCTGAGTTAATTCCCGAGAGCTCCAAATCAATTATAGTCTTAAGGTCAGTGAGCTCTTACTATAACTAGACAACCTTAGACACCCCTCACAGTGGCAAAAGTCAGTGTCCAAGGCCACAGCCATGGAAAGTGGTCAGGCCTGGTCTGGCTCCAGTAGTCACATACCCCACCCTGGCACCATCCCGACACCAGCCCCACTCTTCCCCAGGCTGAGCTTCCAAGGGTTCAGAGTGGTGGGCGGACCCAGGGGAGGGGATGCCACAGGCAGAGGCAGCAGCTCTGATATGGGGCACGTGAGCACACGTGAGCCAACACGCACACACATGCTGATGTTACCTCACACCAGCGTGTAGCATCCTGCTCAGCCTGGCCCCATTGGCTGATGCTATGGGCACAAGAGCTGAAGGGAGATGCTGGGTCAGCCAGTGGGGCAGGGCAGGAAAGGAGAGATGCTGTGCTGCCCCCACCTTGGGTGGACCATGCCAAGACTCAGGAATGGAGATAGAGGGGGCAGGGAAGGGATTCCTCTCTTCTGCAGACTCTGAGCTGGAAAATGCTTCAACTCTCACCCTTTCGGGGGGAGATGGTTAGAAGTACACTTGTTAATCAATGAGTAATGGTGGAAGACCAGTCTCTGTGACCAGTTAACAGGGAAACGAAATAGTATCACCTTCTCTGACCCCACCCACAGACAGATGCACCTAGCCAGGCACTCTTGGACTTGAACTCCTTCAACATTCCTCCAGTGTTTAAAGCACAGGTTGTCCCACACTGGCAACAATGACAACACAGAAGGAAGCACAGAGGACATCTAAGGAGGCCATGCAGAGGAGAGGAGCAGGTATGGGAAAGGGGCAAGCCTGACAACATGCACAAGGACTCAGGAAACAGGAGTCCTTTTCTCCCCATTTGTGTCACATGCTCACAAAAGGCTCTCTGTGAGTGCACGCCGACCTAGGACGTTATCCCAAAATGAATGTGACTAGGCAAACGGATCAAAATCAATGGGTCACCTATAAAATGGGACCAATGACTCTTCAGGGGGCACATCTGCGGACTCCTGGGCACCCTTCCAATTGTACAGTTACAGATAACCGCTAACTCACTGGCAAGAGTGATAGAGTGTGCGTGCGTATGTATGTACATGCGTGTGCATGTTAGTGATGGGGAGAGGGGTCTGATTGATGAGTTTATGTCCCCCAGAGGGCAGTTTACAGCCCATTGATCAGTGTCACTGCTGATCCCTCCTTACCCCCTGGGGGGATGGAGGTGATTCGCTGGCCTCCAAGGCAGACCCAGCACCTATGTAACAAACAGAAACATCTCTGAACTGGCCAAAGGAAAATGAAAAGATGTGTGTCCTGCTTCTGTCTTTCTCCCCTGCTATGTATCCTCGGTCCAGTCACCCTAGTGACTAGTGACCACCCTAGTGAGGGGCCTCAGTGTCGCCCTCTGCATAATTCAGCACCCTTAGGGACCCATCCAGCTACCTAGGATGAGTCCCAAGCAGCAGCTCTCGTGTATGAAATAGAGATGAAAATGCATTCACTCACTCAAAAGACACATCATGTCCCAGGCACGGGGCAGGACCCAGGCACCAGAGCGGTAAGCAAGACAGACTCTGGCTCATATCCCATTAGCAAAGACAACATCAAACAGAATTCACACAAGGAATCATAACCATACTGATCAGCCCTAGCAAGGACGACTTCAAGGTGCTGTGAGGAGACAGCACCTGAGGAGGAAGAGGAGAGACACTGACTGATGACTGTGGGCAAAATTACTGAGGCCCCGTGTGTTGCACACATGACCTTAGACGCACTGCCTCACTTGGCTCTCTCGTCCATTCTCTGAGGAGGCAAGTAGGATTATTCCTGTTTTTCAAATGAAGAGACTGAGGATTTTAGAGAAGGGGAGGCCCAGTCACCTAAGTAAGAACACCTAGGATTTTCTTTAAACTTTTTTCTAAATGTCTGCATTTGTGCTTAAGTCAGAGCAATACTAGCAGTGAGGTTCCAAGTTAGCTCAGTTGGCACTGGGAACCTAGGAACCACGGAGGCCTCCAAAGACTATGCCTACCTCCCCCCCGCACCCCCAAAAGACCCTGGGCCCAAGAGGTACCAACCACTAGCTTTCTCTAAGGCTCAGCCCCTGCCCCTGGCCTCTCACACCTCTCCCTTCCTGGCCAGGGGAAGCACTGGTGCCACAGCTACCATGGAGCCCTGGAAGAGGATCTTGCAGGCCCTAGGGAAGAATATGCAAGTGTGCAGTATGGTGGCCCCACTGCCACGGCCAGGCACAGAGAAACCAGTCACCCCCGCAATGGAAACCTGGCACAGCTGCCTTGTAGAGGCTGGAGAATATCAGTGTCCTTCTGCATCTGATTCCCTGTGGACCCCAAGGATTAGACACTGAGAGTCATGAAACCAGCTTCTCCCCAATTCACAGATGAGGAAACTGAGGCACAGGGAGCTAGCTGCAGAGGGGAATTGTCTATTTCACTCTGCCAATCGGGCTAGCCACCACCATGGGTTCAGTAGCTTCCTGTGAGCAGTCTAGCGGGTGTTCCATGCAGAGCCCAGCGGAGACCCAAGCTTGCCTCTCTTACTGGGATATTAGCCATTGAGCCCCTGGGATTCCTACTCTGCAAAACAGAGACCATCCTTCCTTTCCTACCCAGCAGGGCTGTTGGGCTGAATCAATTAAGAATAGTTCTTAGCAATCCTCCAACACCTTTATTTCATATGTAGAGAAATGTGCCCAGAGAGGTATGAGACTGTCCCAGGCCACACAGACTGTGAGTCACAGAGGTGTGACTAATGAATTCTCTTTTCACACTGCCTGGCTATGAGATCTCAAAAATTCCCAAGACCATGCGTACTCAGCACAGACCTAAGAACACATGGAAATCCTCAGTGAGCATTAGCTGTAATGACCATTAGGGGTGTCGCACACAGAGGGCAAGTTAACCAGCCCAGCCTCTGTTTCCCACTGGAAAAGCAGGCTGACGACTAGAAGAGCTCACATCCTGGATCTGTTTCTCTTCCTCTCACCTCTGCCCTGGGCCCAGGCATCAGCTCTGGACTATGGCAGAGCCAGTGGCAGCCTTCTGAGTCCTTGGCAAACCTTAAAGGCCTTGCCTTCCCCATAGTAGGGGCAAATAGCACAGCCCCTCCAGCAGAAGGCTAAACTTTGGCCCAGTGACTCTGCTCAGTGTCCACTCCGTCTCTCCTGCCTCCATTGGATTCCACTTCCCTCAGACGGTGCAGAGCTACTCCTACTGCACCCCACATTGGTGCCCCCAAAGCCTCTCAGGCTGCAGCTTTCCCCAGCCCTTAGTAACTACACATGTACCCACTTTACAGTCAGGAAAGTTGAGGATCCAGTCGGCTGGGTGCCTCTAAAGAACTGCAGGTGAGCCAGGGCTGACGAGGTTATGACTCTCCCTCAGGCCTCTGTCCTCCACACCATGTGGCTTTGTCCAATATGAGACCCCTCTGTCCCCGGATGCACACACACAAGACACCAGCATCTCCCTGCTCCTGACTGGAGCATTTTCCCCTGAAATGGTGAAGGAATTCTGCCCTACATTCCCTGAAGTCTTGTCCTCAGACAGCCCAAGCGGGGGATTTGTGTCTCCCAGGATGAGAGTCCAGCTTTCCATGTGCATGCAAATATGACCTTCCCCTCCACAAGATCAAAGTCCTAGTCTTGTCCATTCTGGGCCCCAGTCCTCAGCTCCCAGGCACAGCCTGCCATATCTCTACCATCAGTGAACATAGGGGATAAGGCTCTGTGTCCCTGTCCCCCTCCTACCCCTGTCAGCTCCTGGTTCCTTCTCCACCTTCCAGGAGCCCCCATGCCGCCTGCTCTGAGACCAGGTACAAGAATGGATTTGCCTGGAAACCCTAGGCCCCATTCTCCCGGCCCCCACTAGTTCTTACCTGTGTCCTTCAGGTAGGGGAGGGCGCCCCTGAGGAGCGTGGCTGGCTGGAGCCTCTCTTCCAGGGCCAGGGTGAAGCCCTGGGGAGGGAGGGAGGTGCAGAACGCAGAGCAGGCGCTCCAGAGCAGACCCAGCCCAGAGGCTGCTGAAAAAGTTGGAGTAGGTGTGTCCCAGCCCAGGAGGAGGAGGAGGGAAAAGAGGTGGGGGAATTGAGGCGGATCATCCCCTCCTGCCAGCTCCCTGTCTCACTGAGAGGGAGGGAGGAAGCCAACTGGTTTGTGGCCCAGAACTCACAGTGGGGAATCGAGTCATGGAAAAATGAGGGCTGGTAGGGAACAGAGAAATCAGGCCCATCTCCACTTGCCTTCTCGGTTTCACAGAGCGAGAAACTGAGACCCTAGACAGGTAGTGTTGTCCAAGGTCACTCAGAGACCACCAGGAAGCTGTAAAAGGCTTAGCTCTCTGACCAGTCTTCTCCCTGCTCTTCTTCTCCACTCCAGATCTGACACTGACAGCCACAGTCACCAGGCTTGGAGTCAGCACGTAAAGGTCTGGTGCTGCCACCTGCTATCTCTGCAGCATTGGGAGCTGTGGAATCTGAGCCTCAGTTTCCTTTTGTGAAACGATCAACCTATTATAGCTCTACCTAGCAGGGTAGTTATGAGATAAAGGTTGATAAAAGTCACTTAGCTGAGAGAGTCCCCATAAAAAGAAACTTCTTGTCATGGGGCTAAATGACGCTTGGGGATTTCCTCTGTACGATGGGATCATGGAAAGCCTTGCCTTAGAAGGCTGCAGATTTGTGTGATAGGTGACATGTGTAAAGTGCAAAGCACAGAGCTTGACAACTTGCTCTGACATAAGACATCTAAGCTGTGATGCATCAATGGGTGTCTCTCTGCTCTGGCTTCTCAAATGACTCCACCATGCACGCTGTGTGGAGAAGCAGGGATTTAAAGAAGAGAAGAGTTAGCTTTCCTTCCCCCCTTCCCCCTGCCACTGTCACCCACTGTAATTAGAGAGCCCGTTCATTTGCTGGCAGGCCCTCTGCCTACCTCTTCCAGGCACTGTCTGGGCACTGGGAACCTAGAGGTATGTGAAATTGTTCCTGCTTCACACAGCTGAAAACAACTCTGAAAGCATTCTGTCTAATTCCTACCTCCAGACTCTGGTCTTGAGGCCCCTGGGCAAGTGAGTCTTTAACTTTCATACTTCCAATGATTGGGAGCTTACTACCTCTCCCAGCAATCAGTTCAGGCTCAGCAATTTTACCTGATATTCAACTGAACAGCAGGCTGATGAGTGAAAATTCTTGTATTTTTGTCATTACTATTTTTATTATCAGCTATGTGCCTCAAAGCAAATGACTTAAATTTGCTTAGTCTCCCTTTCCTCATTTGTTAAGTGGGGTTGCAACTGTGCTGGGGCCACTCGAACACATCTGTGTTTCCTGCTGTGTGACAAAAACTGAGGTCTGGCTGGCTCTGTGGCTGGTTAGAAGTTTGGCTGGGCCCTATGAATAAGTGGAACCACTATGGTTCTGGGCTCATTGCTTATACAGGAGTTTTGAGGCTTGTGACTTTTTCCCAGCACTAAGAGAATTCATGCATGGCCTGCTGCAGTCACAGTGTCCCCAGTATGGGGCTGACCACAATCGTCAAGCAGGCTGCTGTGGTATTGCCCAAGACAGTCAGAAGGACGCCCTCACAGGAAGGCTCTCTCAGGTCTCCTTTTGTAAGCTGCCGTGGCCCTGGATAGAGGACCTAGGAGCTTGGAGTATGAGGGGGCTAACCCGGATAATTACCCACTTGGCTGGTTGCCACCTGGTCCCCAAGTCTGGTGTGATTATGCATTAACCTGAGGAAGAGCGGTGGGTGGCCCCCTAGTCCTTTGACCATTCATGTGCAGAGTTGCAGGCTATGATCGTCCTTGGGGGCCTCCTGTCCAGACCCAGCTGGGCTCCAGCCTGTCCTGTGCAGGGACCGTCTGCAGCTTGCTGAGGGAGGGAGAGATGAGAACTGGGAGGGACTGTAGAACCCCATGAATGCCAGAATTTATCCCCTTTCTCAGCTCCCCTGCCACCCTCCACCTCTCCCCCTTCTCCCTGTGGCCCCTTTCTGTGGGGTCTTCTGGCCTTGTCTCCCATACACTGGGGAAACTAGAGTCTTTAGTGTCCCACAAACATGCTTGGGCTGGGCACTGGTGGCTAACACCTGTAATCCTAGCTACTTAGGAGGCAGAGATCAGGAGGATTGAGGTTCAAAGTCAGACTGGGCAAGTAGTTTGTGAGACTCTATCTCAAAAAAAAAAAAAAAAAATCACAAAAAAGGGCTGGTGAAATGGCTCAAGGTATAGACCCTGAATTCAAAGCCCAGCACTGCAAAAAAAAAAATGCTTGGAACATTCCCTTCCCATAGCTTCCTAGACAGCTAAAAATGTCTCTTCCTGCTAAAATCATACCTATAGGCTGCTCTCCTCCATGAATACCTTGACTATGCCTCTGACATAAAAAAGAATTAATGAAATTAATAGATAATCTTTATGTCAGGTTCTCAACTCAGTACTCTGCATGGTGACCTCATTTCTCTGAACACCACCACAATGGACTAAGCACTATTTTCATTCTCTATTTTTCAAATGAAGAAGCTGACACTCAGAAAAGCTTTAGTTACTTGCCCAAGGTCGTGGGTCTAGATTTAGCTAAGATCAAGCTCTGTTCTGTCTGACCCCTCCTGGTAACCTCTGGGCTGCATTGCCTGTGCCTCTCTCTCCTCCCTGTGTGCTCTGGCTAAAGCTCCCAGTGGTCCTCTGCTTCACTTCCACTCCTGCTCTGTGCTGTCTTGTTCTCCTCAGGGTTGGTTCGATGTCTCACATTGCCTTTCATTGGCATTTCTAGGGAGATTTTAGAAATGCTGATGGCCTGACCCCCAACCCAAGCCAGTCACACTCCCGGGGGGTGGAACCCAGGCATCCGAGTTTCCTGGCACAGCACTGGTTCATTCAGTGGCAATCAGACACAAATCAGTGCTGCACAGGGTCATCTGTCCCGGCTGGCCCAGGGCTAGGGTTTCCCAGGATGTAGAACCTTTGGTAACCGAGACAGTCCCCGGAAAGTCAATGGTCAGCCATAGCCAAGGATGTCATTGCATTACTGCACCAGGCGTCTTGAGATAAGATTCAGTCCTTGGGGACAATTGGCTAAGGGACTGATTACATTGTCTCAACGTGTTCAATGAACATGAAATACAGCATTTCCTTCTAGGGCTGGACTGGTCCTTTCTGACATACTGTGTTCTCCCTGGGGCGGGTCACATAGCAAGATGAGAGTGTAACTGGGAGACCCTGCAGGTCTGTGGGTAGGAAAAAGTCTAGGGACCCAACTGTCAAAGGGACACGATGCCTTTAAGGAGGATGAAGTCATTGGGAGATGAGGCCACCTGGTTGCAGGCAGGCCAGACCATAGCAGAGAGGGAGAAGCGGAAGGTAGAAGGCAGGTGGGCCGTGGGGGCTGGGCCTGGGATGCCAGCTCTGTGGCTGACAGATGGGCCCAAGCAGGAGTGGGAACAGTGGGCCCTGGCATCACCTGGGGTGCCTGGGAATGTAATCAACCACTCAGCAGACCCGCTGGTCATGGGCATCTGGGCACCACCAGGCCTCCAGCTCATACTGACCCCCAGCCGGCTCTTCTGACAGGCTCCTGCTAGGAGAAGTGTCCGGTCCTGTTGGCCAAGCCTGTGATCATGAGCTCATCTGCCACCAATCCCATCCTCAGCCCACCTGCCCCAGGCTGGCACTGTGGGTGGAACTCCTGTGCTGAGTGCTACTGTGCCAGATTGGCTGGTTTGATGGCCTTAGTTAAGTTACTCACCAAGAAGCCTGGAAGGTCACAAGCCACTCTGAGGACTTGAGGACCTGACCTCATTCTTGGGGCTCTGAGGCAGTCCCAGCCTAAGACACCAGTACCCCTCTTAGGTCCCTTTTCCAAAACCATGAACTCTTTTTCTAGCATCATCTCTTATTTCTCCCCATTGCCTAGTAATGACAGCATTGATGATTACACCCTTCGTCTGTCCATTACCTGTGCTGGGTCTCTACCTGCACTGTTGTGCCTCCTGCCCTACACGTTCATCACAAGGCCACCTGCTCAGGACCATCTCCCCACCATCCTTCCCCAGGAACTGCTAGGGGATTCTGTACCCACCTGCAGCACAAATTACTGTGTTCTTGTGTCATAGAGACCAAGGCAGGATATCACTGTGTGATTCTCATCCCTCTTGCCGTGCTTGTGCAAGCAGTAGAGCCAGGGTAAAGTTTGGACTTGAAGTTGCACAGACCTGGATTTACACTCAGCTCTGCCAGCTTGCAGCTCTGTGGCATTGGACAAGTTACCTTCTCATGTATCAAATGGAGGTATAATAAGTGTCCTTATGTTGTAAGAGTCGTCAGGAGGATTAAGCAAGGTGATGAATTAATAAAAGGCTAAACATTATGACTGAGGCAAAAAAAAAAAGTAGCTCTCTGAGTCTGTTTGGTGTGTAATTCATATATGGATTTCCCATAGCTCTTTGCATAGTGCAAATGAAATGTGTCAGGAGCACAGGCTTGATATATGCAAAATTGCTTTGGGAGTGCCAAAATACCACACGTATACAGGAGTGGGATGTTACTTTACAGGTAAAAAAAAACTGAGGCAGGCTAGATGTGGTGTCTCATGCTTATAATCCCAGCTACTCAGGAGGCAGAGATCAGGAGGATCAAGGTCCAAGGTCAGCCAAACCTCATTTTAACCAACAACCTAGGTGTGGTGGCATGCATCTGTGATTCCAGCAAAGTAGGAGACAAAGATAGTTGGCTCGCAGTCCAAGAGGCCCATCTGGACAAAAGTATGAGACCCTATCTGAAAAAATAAACAAACAAAAGCACTGCAGACATGGCTCTGAGCCACCTCTCCAGAGCCACCTGCCAAGCAAATGCAAGGCTCTGAATTCAAACTCCAGTGCTACAAAAAGAGAGAAAGAAGGAAAGAAACT